TATAACAAAAATCTTAGCCACAGCAACGCTTGGCCGAGTCTACTAGTTGTTTATAAAACTAATTTGATCAAAAAAATACTTAAAATTTGTTTAAATTAAATAATTTAGGAAATGGGAACTTTATTTAGAAGTTGTTACAATTTCTTTTTTCTCTAAAATATTAAGTTGTTTGTTTGTTTAATATCAGTTATCTTTTTTTATCTCTTCATGTATATAATTGACTTATGTTTTCTGCTTCGTATATTATGTTTAACAATGTAATATGTTTTGGCTTTGTATATTCTAAGTGTTTTATAATATGTTACATGTGTAGCTGTAAGATTACTTATAAATATATAATCACCTACACGCGTTAGCGATACTATAGATAAGTATGCCCGATCGAAGGGCCTACAACAAACAGTTCGGAAAAACTAAGAGCAAATTTTTGGACTACTACACTACGAACAGTGTTAGCTCCCGTGTGTGCGTTCGAGCCACGGTTCGAATCAGCCAATGGGATTGTATGCACAACTAAATCTCCCGTGTATGATAAAGAAAAACCTCGTAAGGCATGCCTTAGAGCCTTATAATTGTTCTTTATAGTAAAAATATACAGAATATGTCAGCGACCTAAAGAGTTACAGAAATCTGAACCAGAGTGGTGAATGGTTATTTTTCTCATACATAATAACACTGTCTCAAAGATAATCTCTCAAGCCTTAAATTGAATATTTCATCCTTATCACTCTCATGTCAATACACACTAAAATAAGCGGGACAAAATCATTTTTCTCTTATTAGTTTTAGATACTAGATAATAGGGTTTATCTAAGCTCTCCATGTACTAAACAAAAAGTTGCTTTTATCGTTCTATTAATTATCGTAAGGTATAAAATGTGTTGAAGAAATACTGACAGCCTAGCTCACATAGCAACATAGGCGGGTGATATCATCATAAAGACAAAAACTATGTAAGAATTAACGTTTAGTTTTAATTGAATTTTTTATATTATCGCTATGTCTTTAGCATTATAGTTAATTATTTGGTTATATTCCACAGATTACTTTAAACCTAATTTAACAGAGAAATGTATCAAATGGATATTAAAATATAATTTACTCATATAGGTAACTTAATACGTATAAAAAACTAATACTTCTAAATTGCCAGTTCTCAGATCAAGGCCGTAGAACGGATAAGAAGAACTGGGTTCAAATCTCCTACAATCTAAATAGCAAAGTTTTTATTTAATATTTAAATTGCATACAGCATCATGCTCTTCGTCACATCTTAGGTACTATTTACATAATTAAAGTGAGACAATAATTATCAAGACATGAAAAGACGCATAAAAATTATATTGGTTCGTATATATACCTCTTTTCGCACAGATTTAAGTATATTTAGAGTCAAAACTTAGCGACAAGTAAATCTCGTTTTTGAATTTTTAATACAATAGGTTTAGGTGTCATATAATTTGTCAGTATAATAGGCATGTAGGTGATCAGGTGATCACTTCCTTTCCTTCACCGTTCGAGCGAATGATAAATGCACATAGAAACAAAGTCCACTGGTGCACAACTGGGGATCGACCTCAAGGATGAGAGTCGCACGCTGAAGCCACTAGGCCATCACTGCTCATAATAAAATTACTTTTAAATAACCTAATAATACTGTTATATTGTTGTTTAATACTTTTTAGTGCATTCATTTAAACAAAATAACCTTAAATTCTTAACAAATATTGATTTAAGTCTTTCTAACCAAAGGCTTCGCCGCTTATCATTAATCAAAACATATCAGTCGTATATCATATTAAACATTCACCGGAAATGCTACCGGATAATCTAGATCTAAAGATTAATTAGTTCTTCGAAACAATGCTGACAATGTCCTACAAGTTCCGTCGCGATTCGCCAACTCATCGGCCCAGCTGCTTGACATAACAAATGATTAGCTATTGTGTAAGCTATAAAATCATTGGTTACGCACGAAAATTTAACTAAAAGTTGAATTGTTAGTGATTAAGTGACATTAATGTTGTTATATATTGCAAAGTTAGTTGTGACAATAATCCATTGGATTTTTTCTACTTTATTAGAATCCTACATTATCGCTAATTAATATGGGCTATAGAATAAAACAATTGTCCAGTCCTGCGAACGCTAGTAATGATTATTAATAAAAAATAATTCATGAAAAAATCTCAGTTTTGTATCGCGCAGCCCGGATATACAACGATCATTTAAGTCTTGACTTGTTTAGCCTATCGCGGAATATGGTTAAAATGAGTATTAAGAATATCCATAGCGCAAAATCACCTGCATGAGCATACCCCACATACACACCTTTACATACATACCACTTTTAGATCATCACACATCACAGCCAAATTAGCTATTGCTTGGTTAAATGTATTGAATAATTTTTATTGTTTTTCCCTTTTGTAAATCTTAGAACCTTTTTGTAAATACTGTGTATTCCATCTTTGGTTATATATTTAGTTGTTTGTTTTTATATATACTTTTTGTTAGCTGTAGGATTACGAAACAAATAAATAATGTAATTAATTTATAATTGTTCTTTATAGTAAAGCAGGCGAATAACCTTGTGAGCTCGCACGTCTTCTATTTTAATATCTTAGAAGGTTTCCCGAAGATATTCTTCATGGAATGCGCATTTGTGCACTTCAGCTATTGCGCAAAGAATCTATTGGTATGCACCTAATACAGGATTTTAAGACACGATCTGCGAGTTGACCACTAAACATTGCATGTACTCATGCATTGGGGTACCGAATTGGGATTTTAAGTTAGACAGTTAATATATAAATGTATATATAATGCAATTGTCTAAAAAATATATATATTTTTAGTTGACCTCATACATGGTCCAAATATAGTAAAGTTGGGCTACATTATAAAGCCTGGAACAGATCGCTTAGAAGCGATAAGGCCGTCCATTCCCCTCCTTTTTATTTACGGATTTTGTAATGTAATTAAGTGTTAAATAAGTATAAAACGTTCCAATTTAATTAAGATTTTATCACCCTTTGCTTATGGTAATAATTTTATTAAAGTTAAGATACTTGTGAACATATTCTGTTTTTTTGAAGATATCAAAGTACCCATAACCGAGGAGCATGTATGTTATCAAAGCGGATGAAGTAAGTCAGGTATACATAAACCGTGGCAAGTGGAGATACGTGGTCTTCTGAAAACGGCGTGAATATAAAAAGAATTGAATTGGTAATAGGGTAGATAGTTGTTGATAAGCGAATTTTTTAATATAGACTTGCCATAGATTTAATAGAAATAGCTTAAAATAATAACTTAAATATTGTTTTTTTAAGTTTGGATAGTAAAACTCAATAACATTATTTTGGCCTACAGATTTTTTTTTATTACCCCTTAAAGCTGGGGTTGCCGCAGAGGTTGCGGCAAATAATAAACGGCTCAAATATATGAGTCTTTCCTCCACCTTCGATTTTTTTGAGACAAAAGTGCACAGGTGCTAATTAAAGATTTAAGTTGGCGCCTGGTACCCGTGACACCAGAGCTGGTGCTTTCCTCACTCAACGAATAAGTATCGCAATACAGCGATTACTGCCAGCGTTAAAGGTACACTGCCACAGGGACCAAACTTTTTCAATTTGTTTTAATTTTTTTTAAATTAATTTCTAATTAATTTTATTATTACTTTGCAGGTTAATACTATATATTTGATTGTTATGTTTAGGTTTTATCCCTATTTTTTTTGGTTATAAGTTACTGACATTAGATAAACCTACTGCCCGTTTACCCTCATTTTCCTAACTTATAAGAAAACGTTGCTTACTTTACAACAACTCTGAGTTGAGATCTTAACCAATTAAATGTTAATCCGACTGTCTTTGCAATTCAAGATCTATTAAAATAAAACTCTTCTGTATAAAGGTAAATTAATTAAACGATTTCAAGATATTCATGATTTAAAAACTTTATATTTCAGGCGAAAATTTATTGATTAGTGATTTTCTAGGATTGCCGGCGGATTACAACAAATTTATTTGCACCGGCATTCATTTTATGAAAAACAATTTGGTAACTTACTGTTATGACAAAAAGGTGCAACAGTTATAAAAGAATATGCAATATCAATATTGATTCTTGTCTTCATTTTGTAAGTTCCAACTGTTATATTCTCTAAGGGTAAGCGTTTTTGTGGTTTTTAGGCAAACGGAAGTGAAGTACATACTATCCATGGACACATACAGTTTTGGAGGCTTCTACCGCCGGCTTCTGAGATTACTTTACGAACCTTAAGTCAAATTTGTATCAAGCATTTTATTTATCTATTTCACTATAAATACATTTTAACAATTTAAAAGCCTGTTCTCAATTGTTGACTGTCCGTGACCGATGTTTACCGGTTTTTATAACCCAAATACGAATCGTAATCCGTGTTTCTTTTGTATTTATACTCGTAATAACGTTTCGCGTGTAATTTATTATTGATAAATTTTTGAGCCGTATCTTTGAGCCCTAATAAACCAAGCATATTTTAAAATGAATATATTAGCAGCATTAATTAATAAAAATATATTCTTTCTATTTATATTAGAAACCTCTTAAACCCTAATATTATTTTTGAATAACAATGATTGGTATTTCAAACTTGTGTCAACGCCTCCACAAAAAGACATGCCGTCGGGAAATGTTAGTAAAAAACTTTAACATAAGTAAATGATATATATAGATATTCTTTTGATTCAATTTTGTTAAAAAAAATGTGTTTTCTTTGTAGGAAATCAACATATTTTGTAGATATTTATTTATGTTGAAGCCCCATTACAGCCCTAAACAACTATCAAGACTTAAATCATTGTTCAAACATTTTAGTAATCTTAAAATATATTTTTTTCCAGCGTAGCTGGATCAATTTGATATATATATTTTCCAATAGGAATCTCTTTTAATTTCGAAGAAGTTTCTTAAATAGTTTTTAATGCACTTTAATATGGATAATAGAGACTTACCATTTGGTGATATATTAAGCGGCTGGGTGATCGCCGCTGGCGCTTGGGCTGGCTCCATCTTCCAGGACGCGCAACAAGAAGCCGGCGAGAAGTCTGTTGGGCCCGAGCCCGCCGATATCAACATTGTCGAACCGCAAGCATAAGCAATATCTTCTATGGCATAGGCACCAAGCTCACAGTTCACGAACTAAGTCCACAAAACGCTGCGCAGTCACGCGCTCACACGAAGCTCAGCCAGAACACTGAAGTGCGCGCTTGCCCGGCGCGCCCACTCGCGCGCCTACTGCATTAGCACGCCTTTAAAAAATCTCCGCCAAACAATAACAAAAAACTACCTCCACTTAATAGAGCCTCCATCCTCTCACTCTAACGCTGTTAATTCGATTTCCGAACGCGTCAAATCCACGGCAACGCTCGATTCATTTACAGCCTTCCGTCCTGTTCTAAGCGCTTCGATTAAAACGCCGCCGCAGATTACAACCATATTACGTTGTGTTAAGACTGACTTTTCTATACAAATTTGAAGGCGGTTAAGATCTTTAGCGGGTTTATAATAAACCCACTACTCACACTCGTTCGATTCAGCCTAAGCATGAGCTGTATGAAAGGGACAGGTGCTGTACCGCTTGGTGGCAGAATTACAGTAGTGAGCACAGGTGATCTTTCACGATTTCTATAGAAGGTGTTAATGTATACCTCTCTCGCTCTGGTTTATAGCATTTCGTTAATGTATTCTGAGACGACGATATGAATGAAGGCCGCTCGTTAATTAGAAGTATACTTAACCATGCTTAGCATTCTAATGGTAACGGGCAGGAATCGTTTTAATTAGGGTGGTATGTACCCCATTTTAGGTTGATTTAGTAATAAAAGTATTTTGTACGGCGTCATGTTGAACGGAGAATAAAAATCTGGATACCTATAATTACAGAGAGGAAATGTATTCTCTTTTATCGAATATTAAATACTCGATCAATGCAAGGTTTATTTATAACAAGCAAGTGCCTGCAACTTTGTTTGCGTTATTTTAACCACCAAAGACCCGAAGCAGTATTTTTAGCACCGACTTTGAATTTGCCATATTTCATCAACTAATGATGTCAAAATATCTATTAGTAATTGTTTTCTTATTACACATGTATGCCCTAAATCAGAAGTGGCAATGGGCGGGGCGTATAGCTAGATACACAGATAATAGGTGGATCTTAAAGACAACTGAAAGGAAAGGACCAAGCGGAAGGAGAAGAGGTTGCCCAAAAAAAGGTGGATAGAAGAAATAGAAGCGGTAGCAGGAAACGAATGGAGAAAGAGAGCCATAGACAGAGTCATTTGGAAAAAGCTGGAGGAGGCCTATACCCGTGAAAGGGGTTCCGATCGACGGTACTGAAGGAAGCTAGGATATAGGTTAACAAGCAAAAAAAAATGTAAAATAATCTAAGCTTTATATTATAATTTGTTTTTGTCATGATTGGAAATAAAACGGGCTTTATTATTATTACACATTTCAAATATTAAGTTATTAATAGATTTAAATGCCAATTAGTTGTCTCTGATCAACGAAAAGCTCCCAAGCTTCCATTGGAAAAAAATGGTATGTCCAATACCTGTTTACTTTTAATTTATAAATATTTTTATGATCAATCTTCTTAACTCATAGGCTTTGAGTCATAAATTCCTGCAAATAAAACCGCCGTCCAGGGACTAAAACATCTTATTTCCGGTCTATTAAAAATTGTTACATTACCTTTAAGAAATGATTATAATATTTTGTATGAAATATACGCACAGACGCTTTCTCCGCGGATTTATATAGATCATATTTATAATTGCAAGGAAGAGGGAATTGCCGGAAGGTACCGAATTGCAACTGCTATATACAATTTCTTTGTAGGCTCTTTAATTTGTAGTAATTTTGATTCATTGCGGTTTCCGTTTGCGGCACTCTGAATATTTAACTGATAAATCAATGTATTTAACTGTAACAAAGGGATTTCTTAATCTAGTATAAGTATTTGTTATTAAATACTTCCGATACTTTTCATATAAATGTCTGTTTCATTGTGCAAATATATCTTTATTATTTACAATAAATACAGTATTTCTAATTTTTTTAACCTACAAAGTAATAATAAAAATAATTAAAATAAAAAAAAAGTTTGGTTCCTGTAGTACACTCCACCTTTCACGCAGGCAGCATTTCCTCGCTATATTGCGATACTTATTCGTTGAGCGAGGAATGTACCAGCTCTGGGGTCATCAGTACTATCAACCAGGCGCCAACTTAAATCTTTAATCAGCGCCTGTGCACTTGAACCCCACGGCCCAAGTGTCTCTACTCCAAAGGGAACAAAATCGAAGTTGGAGGAAAGACTCTATTATTCATTTATTTTCCCATATTATTTCTTTACAGTATAATACGATAATCTATTGGGACAACTGGGGTTGGAACCCACAAATTTTTGGGAATCGCACACTTCACTAACACCCTATTAATAGAAATAATATAACGTATTTAAGACGTTCTAGCGTAACCATATGAAAATCCGTGTAGTTATTTTTGATACCGCGGATATATGATATATATACCAATGGCGTAGCCTTTTAGGTCTGGGCCTCAGATTTCTGTATCTGTTCCGTGATCATTTCTAAGAGGCAAATAGGGGAACTTCTTGGAATCGTCGACTTACTAAGGCACGCATTCCTCACGATGTTTTCCTTCACTGTACGAGCAAGTGTTGAATGTGTACATAGAAGGTCCATTGAGTGCGATCGAACCTATAACTCCAGGTATGAGTGTCGCACGATGAAGCCACTAAGCCAACACTGCTCTCAAAAACAACAACAAAAATTATGTACCACAAAGAAGTGTTCGGTGGCCGTCGATACACAATTTATACTTAAATAATAAGTCCTGAGTACATACTTCGTTACGATGTATCCTTACCAAGAAGAAAGGCACACAACTTTCAGTCGTATGGATTTGGAGAAATTGTATTAGTTTGGGAACAAATAGAGGTTAGACTTGTACTGATACCTTGCCTCACAATAGTTTACAAAAACACACAATACACTCACTATAAAGTTATTAATTGAGGACGTCACTATAAACAAATATAATTAACAAAAAAGTATAAATCAAAATAATATGCGTCTAACATAACCCGAGGAAAACTAAGCAGTAACTAACCAAATAATGTGATGATCGGCCGAGTAAAATCACAATATTTGAATTCTGCTAAAAAGTTTGCAAAAAATATGGATTTTTTAAATGTTATGTACCGCCACCCATGGACACTCACGTTTCCAGAAGGCTCGAAACTGCGTTGCCGGCCTTTAAAAAATTGGTACTCTCTTTTCTTGAAGTCCAATTGGTTCGGAAATACTTTAGTGGGGTGCTGGTTCTACGTAGTGGTAGTGCGCGGCAAATACTGCCGTAAGAAACGCTCAGATGAGGAACGACGGACGTCGAGGTTATACGGATATTTTGTATTCTGCCTTGACGTCCAGTGATTAGACTCAGCTGCAGGTATTAACCCGAACAACTCCTCTGAACACTATGGTAAATGTGATAGAAGATGCAGAGACTCCACATCTCTACGCAACGCCAAGGGATCAAGCCGCACGGAAAGTGACCGGTCGTTGACGATTCGCTCTTCGTTGAATTTGATAATGAGGACTATTTATATTTAGGGATAATTTAGACCTCAATAGGTAATGATTTAAGTCAAAACTATACCTTAGCTTAATTGAAAATTACATTTAGACCAAAAGTTTAACAATGATTTTAGAATGAAAGAAAAAGTAAACGCAATGTACACAAAAAATTCAAAGATACAATTTCTTTAATCAATAGGGACAAGTCAGTTTTTAGTTGCTGTTACCAGCAACACTGATTTTCATTTCATTCGTATTTTTTAATTGAAAGTAGTGGAGATCCTCGTCCTCATCTTAATTATTGTAATATTTTGAAGTTATACTTCTTTTGGCGAGTTAGGGTAAAATGATGAGAGTAAATTTTTTCTATTGTAAGTGTCGATTTCTCCACAAACGTAAAAGTGTGGAGTGCGTATAAGTACGCGCACGTTTTTTTTTAAATATTGTATATGTTTAGTTCGGTTAATAAAGAAAAATAAATATTTATATATATTAGAATATTTTAACTACACTTTAAAATATTTTAAATTAAGTAAATTATAATCTATATTCTATCCACTTCTGATATTAAGGTAGTAAATTATTATTATTGAAATTTCTAGTCTATATAATTAAATATAATCTCGAGTGGGTTGCTGTTGTAAGAATTGGTATTTTTTCTTAAAGGACCCTAGGTCGAATTGATTTGGAAATACTTTGACGGGCAGCTGGTTCCACATAGTGTTAATCGCGTGCTTTAATTTAACCCCTGGGTTTTAACCCTAGAGTTAATAAAGGCTTAAGGTATTTAACTAAACACTATATATTTAAATATATATGTCTCCATTTTTTTTTATATAGAACGGGGGGCAAACGGGCAGGAGGCTCACCTGATGTTAAGCGATACCGCCACCCACGGACACTCTCAATGCCAGAGGGACCGCGAGTGCGTTGCCGGCCTTTTAGGAATTGGTACGCTCTTTTCTTGAAGGACCCTAAGTCGAATTGGTTCCGAAATACTTCAGTGGGCAGCTGATTCCACAAAGTGGTGGTGCGCGGCAAAAACTGTCTCCATGGAAAGGCCTGAACAAATGGCGACAAAAGAGAGCTTACTCCTCCCTCAAAGGACGGCAACGTATCCACTAAAATGCCTGCCCCATTTACCATTATTCTATAAAACAAACACTAACCTAATGAATAGCTAAGCTTAATATGAAATAATTGTTCGATAGCACAAATTAGAAATGTTTTATACATTAATTGAGCCAAAGTTGGTTGACTTTTTCGTTTTGGACAGGCGCCGCAGGATTTAGTGGCGAGATAATGCGTGGGCGTCACATAATGAATATATTTATATTTCGTTCGCGCCGGCTTTTATCTGACAGCCGACAGGTTACTATCGGAGAACCACCGGTGTACTATTCGTAATAACACTTTATTCTAATAATAGTGATTTAAGTACTTCCATTGATTATTCTGTTCTGTATTCCA